AAAGGGGGGGAAAAAAAGGGGGGGGGAAAAGGGGAAAAAAAAAAAGGGGAAAAAACAGAAGGGGAAAAAAGGGGGAAGAAAAAGGGAAGGGGGGGAAAGAAAAAAAAAAAAAAAAAGGGGGGAAGAAAAAAAGAGAAAGGGGTTTAGGAGGAAAAGGAGGAAGAGGAAAGAGGAAGAGGTGGAAAGGGAGGAAAGGAGAGGAGGAAGAGGAAGGAAGGAAAGAAAAAATTTTTTAAAAGAAGGAAAGAGGAGGGAAGGGAGGAGGGGAAATAGGGAAAGGAGAAAGAAGAGGAAGAGGAGGGAGGAAGAGGAACGAGGAGAAAGAAAGAAAAGGAAAGGGGGAAGTTGGATAAGAGAAGAGGAAAGGAGGAGGGAAAGGGGAAGAGGAGGTGGAGAAGAGGAGAAGAGGAGGAGGAAAGAAGAAGAGAAAGGAAGAGGAGGAGGAGGAGGAGGAAGAGAGGAAGAGGAGAAAGGAAATGAGGAGGAGGAGGAGGAGGGAGGAAGAGGAGGAGGAAAAAAGAGGAGGAGGAAAGGAGGAGGAGGAAAGAGGAGGAGGAGGAAGAGGGAAGGAGGAAAGAGGGAGGAAAGGAGGTGGAAGGAGGGAAAGAGGAAGGAGGAGGAAGAGGGGAGGGGAAGAGGAGGAGGGGAGAAGAGGAGGAGGAAGAGGAAGGAGGGGAGGAGAGGAGGGGGAAAAGAGAGGAAGAGGAGGAAGAGAAGGGAGGAAAGAGGAGGAGGAAGAGGAGGAAGAAGAGGAGGAGGAAAGAGGAGAGGAAGAGGGAGGAGGAAGAAGGAGGAAAGAGGAGGAAGAGGAAGAGAGGAAGAGGGGAGGAAAAAAGGAGGAGGAGGAAGAAGAGGAGGGGAAGAGAAGGGAAGAGGAGTGGGGAGGAAGGAGAGGAGAGGAGGAAGGAGGAAGGGAGGGTGAAGGGGAAGAGGAAGGAGGGGGAGGAGGAGGAAGGGGGGAAGAGGAGGAGGAGGAGAAAGGGGGAAGGGAAGAGAGGAAGAGGAGGAAAAAGGGTAGGATGAGGAGAAAGGGGGAGAGGAGAAGAGGAAGGAGAGGAGGAGGAGGGAAGAGGAAGAGGTTGGAGAGGAGGAGAAAGTGGGGGGGAGGAAGAGGAGGAGGAGGTAGAGGAGGAAGAGGAGGAGAGAGGAGGAGAGGAGGGAGGGGGGAAGAGGAGGAAGAGGAGGAGGAGGAGAGGAAGAGGAGGAAGATGGAGAAGAGAAGGAAGAGGAGGAGGAAGAGGAGGAGGAGGGAAAGAGGAGGAGGAAGAGGAGGAGGAGGAGGAGGAGGAAGAGGAGGAGGAGGAGGAGGAAAAGAGGAGGAGGAAGAGGAGAGGAGAGGAAAGAGGAGAGAAGAGGAGGAGAGAAGAGGAGGAGGAGGAGGAAGAGGAGGAGGAGGAGGAAGAGGAGGAGGAGGAAGGGAAGGAGAAGAAGGGGAGGAAAAGGGAGGAGGAGGGAGGGAGGAAGAAGGAGGAAAAGGGAGGAGGAAGAGGAGGAAAAGGGAGGAGGAGGAGGAGGAGGAAGAGGGGAGGAAGAGGAGGAGAAGAGGAGGGGAAAGGAGAAGGAAGGGGAAAGGAGGAGGAGGGGGAAAGGAGGAAGAGGAGGAAGAGGAGGAAGGCAAGGGGAAAGGAGGAGGAGGAGGAAGGAGGAGGAAGAGGAGGGGAAGAGAGAGGAGGAGGAGGAAAAGAGGAGGAGGAGGAAGAGGAGGAGGAGGAAAGGGAGGAGGAGGAGGAAGAGCAGGAGGGAAGGAAGGGAGGAGGAGGAGGGGGAAGAGGAGGAGGGGGGGAAAAGAGGAGGAGGGGGAAGGGGAGGAGGGGGAAGAGGGAGGGGGAGGGGGAAAGAGGAGGAGGAAGAGGAGGAGGAAGAGGAGGGGGGAAGAGGAGAGGAAGGGGGAAAGGAAGAGGAGGAGGAAGAGGAGGAGAGGAGGAGGAGGAAGAGGGGAGGGAGGAGGAGGGATGAAGAGGAGGAGGAGGGGGGAAAGGAGGGGGGGAAAGGAGAGAGGAGGGGGAAAGAGGAGGAGGAAGAGGGGGAAAGGGGAGGAAAAAGAGGAGGGGGAAAGGGAAGGAGGGGGGGGAAGAGGGAGGAGAGGGGAGGAAGAGGAGGAGGAGGAAGAGGAGGAGGAGGAAGAGGGGGAAAAGAGGAGGGGGAGGAGGGGGGAGGAGGAGGAGAAGAGGAGGAGGAGAGAGGAGGAAGAGGAGGAAGAGGAGAAAGGGAAAAGGAGAGAGGAGGAGAAAGGGAGGAGGAAGGGGGGAGGGGGGAAGAGGAGGAAGAGGAGGAGGAGAAGAGGGGGAGGAGAGGGATGGAGGAGGAAGAGAGAGGAGGAGGGGAAGAGGAGGAGGGGGAGAGGAGGAGGAGGAAGAGGAGGGAGGGGGGAGGAAAGAGGAGGAGAAAAGGAAGAGGAGGAGGAAGAAGGAAAAGGGAGGAGGAAGAGGAGGAGGAAGAGGAGGAGGACGGAGGAGGGAGGAAAGGAGGAGAGGAGAGGAGGAGGAAAGAGGAGGAGGAAGAGGAGAAGAAAAGGAAGAGGGAGAAAGAAGAGGAAGAAGAGAAAGAGGAGGAGGGGGGAAAGAGGAAGAAGAGGAGAGAGGAGGAGGAGGGAAAGAGGAGGAGGAGGAGGAAGAGGAGGAAAAGGAGGAGGAAAAGGAGGGGAGGAAGAGGGGAGGAGGAAGGAGGAGGAAGGGGAAGGGAGGAAAAGAGGAGAGGAGGGGGAAGGAGGAGGAGGGAGGAGGAGGAGGAGGAAGAGGAGGAAGAGGGAAGGGAGGGGGAAAGGAAAGGAGGAAGAGGAGGGAGGAGGGAGGAGAGGAAGAAGGGAGGAGAGGAGGAGGGGGAAGGGAGGAGGAGGAAAGAGGAGGAGGAAGAGGAGAGGAAGAGGAGGGGGAAAGAGGAAAGAAGGAGGAAGAGGAAGGGGAGGAGGAAGGGGGAGGAGGAGGGGGGAGGAGGAGGAGGAGGAGGAGAAGAGGAGGAGAGAGGAGGAAGAGGGAGGAAGAGGGGGAAGAGGAAGAGGAGGAAGAGGAGGAGGAGGAGGAGGAAAAGGAAGGAGGAGGAAGGAGGGGGGAAGAGGAGAGGAGGAGGAAGAGGAGGAGGAAAGGGGGAAAGGAGGAAAGAAGGGGGGAAAGAGGAGGGGGAAAGGGGGAGGAGGAAGAAGGAGGGAAAGAGGGGGAAGAGGAGGAGGAGGAGAAGAGGAGGAGGAGGAAGGGGAAGGGAGGGAGGGAAGAGGGAGGGAGGAGGAAAGGGGAGGGGGAAAGGGAGGAAGAGGAGGAGGAGGAAGAGGAGGAGGAGGAAGGGAGGAGGAGGAGGAAAGGAGGGGAAGAGGAAGAAAGAGGAGGAGGGGGAAGAGGAGGAAGAGGGGGGAGGAGGAAAAGGAGGAGGAAGAGAGGAGGAGGAAAGAGGAGGAGGAAGAGGAGGAGGAAGAGGAGGAGGAGGAGGAGGAGGAAGGGGGAGGAAAGGGAGGAGGAAGAGGAGGGGGAAAGAGGAGGAGGAGGAAAGGAGGAGGAAGAGGAGGGGGGGAAGGAAGAGGAGGAGAAGGGAGAAGGAAGAGGAGGGAGGAGGAAGAAAGGGAGGAGGAAGAGGAGGAGGGAGGAGGAGGAGGAGGAGGAGGAAGGGAGGGAGGGAGGAGGGAGGAAGAGGAGGAAGAGGAGGAGGAAGAGGAGGAGAAAAGGAGGAAGAGGAGGAGGAGGAAGAAGAGAAAGAGGAGGGGGGAGGAGGGAAGAGGAGGAGGAAGAGGAGAGGAGGAGGAAGAGGAGGAGGAAGAGGAGGAGGAGGGAAAAGGAGGAGGAAATGAGGAGGAAGAGGAGGAGGAAGAGGAGGAGGAAGAGGAGGAAAGGAGGGGGGAAGAGGAGGAAAAGGAGGGGGGAAGAGGGGGAAAAAGGGAAAGGAGGCAGAGGAGGAGGAGGAAAGAAGAGAAAGAGGGGAGGAAGAGGAGGAAGAGGAGGAAGAGGAGGGGAAGAGGGGGAAGAGGGGGAAGAGGAGAAAAAGGAAAGGAGAAAAGAGGAGAAGAAGAATACATAATAATAATAATAATAATAATAATAATAATAATAATAATAATAATAATAATAGATAATAATAAGTTCCCTTGATGTATGAAAAGCAAAGTCCACCCCTGACAGTGACATGATGAGATAACATCTGATAAGAGCTGACGTTTGATGAGCATACACAAGGGTGGGGGAGGGTGCAGCTGATAAGAAAAGATTAGAGGTGACATTTGATAAGCATCACCCTCCCTTTGTTTTCCCTGATACACAAACATTTCTGGCTGTCTATTTGTCTGTCTGTCAAGCTCCCTGTCTATCTGTCTAGCTCTATGTCTCAGAGAGAGCCACAAGACTGCATCATCACCTTTTCTCACATCTTCAAGCAGAGTATAGCACTTTGTCTAGATTTTTGGGTTATCCTTGGTAATTTATACAATGTATATTTGTATTTATGTGTACCTGTGAGACAGAGATAGACAAAGACATTGAAAGAGATAGACAGAGACAGATAGACAAAGGCAGAGACAGATGGACAGAGACATTCTATGCTGACCAGGCATCTCTGGCCAATCTCGCCAAATTTGGAGGCAGGAAAATTAAAACATATATATAATATATAATATACTTACCTGGTGCTACAGGTAAGAAGGTATATATACGTTTTGGACCGTTTAGGGGTTAAATATCTTCACCCCTTGATGAAAGAAAAATATCCAGAAATAATTTTACTTGTAAGCTCTCTACAGGAAAATGCTTTGATGGTGGTAAAGGGTGCTTGATCCAAAGAATTGGAGCTACCCTTTGCTTAAATCAAACTTGAGTACATCCCATTTTCCAGGAGCTGTATAACCCTTAAGGGTTAAACTCTTCCCCATGAAAGCAGTAATAATAATAATCTACTGTACTTGTAAGCTACACAACCTACAACAGTTTCCAAGGATAAAAGAAAGCGTGGAACAACTACAACAGCAGATAAACAGTTATTGGAACAAACTTAAATATGATCAGTATATGACTACTCCAACTTACCATACATATTCACAGTTCTTGCTGCAGCACCACACTTACCAATAGTGCATCCCTCCAATATGATAACACCGATGGGTTCTCTCTCACCCTTTTTCTCAAAGTAAAACAGAAGATTTCCCTTCAAAACAAACCAGCGTCTCTGGAAGCTTTTGTTAACCTGAAAAGTTCAATTAATGTAAGGAATATACCTACTCCTGCCTAGAAAGATTTTTGAGACATTATCGCTTCTTGAAAATACATTAATATTCTGTCTTTACACTATGCTCAATTAAGTTGCCAATTAAGTGTTAAAAAATTGTTTACTGTGAATACACCATTACTTATTAACCCTTAAATGGTTCAAACGTATATATACGTTTTTTCAACATTTGAAAGTATGTAAAAAAATGTAAATCATTTTTTTTTTTTTCATTTGAAAATGTGTAAAAAAACTTTTATCTAAATTTGTTTTTTTGTTATGTTCGAAAATATGTAAAAAACGTAGATCTACGTTTGGAGCACTACGGATTTGAACATCCATCTGTTTGGACCGTTTAAGGGTTAATTTCTTTAAACTTTAGAAAGATCTTTGATCAGAATTCTTCTAATACTCAAGTTCATTTTCATAATTCCTTTTACATCACAAATTAGATTTCCACTGCTTCACCTATTTTATTCATCTGAGCTTTTAAATCTTTTTTTATTTATTATTAATCTTGATAAAAGTACAGTATTGTATGTATCCATTACTACTCTAAAATTCAAGACTATCATTAAAAAACGGTTTAAAGTACCTTGAAAATTTACATTAGAAACATTCATGTCAATTAAAAGAGAAATAAGTACATCACTTCTTATATGTTATAGAGAATGCCTTAAAAATAAAAACAACACTCAAGTAAGTTGATCACTGTGATATACTCTCATTCACATACACTAACTGTAACAGTGATATTCTTGAGACACAATAAATATGCTATTCTAAAGACCCAATAAAACATGTAAATATTTATAGAAACAAAGTTTTCAAGCTAAATGGTCTCAATTACAAGTTCATGCAGATTGCAAAGTATATAGTATATGCAATGGAACCTCGGCGTTAGAACATACCGGACCTCGAATGAAGGAGTGTCCAAACAATTTTGTTCAGAAAAAACTGACCCGGTCTTTGAACATTTTTCTGGAGTCCAAATGTGCTGGCTTGTTAAGGAATTCAGTTGTAAAAAAAAAAAAAAAAAACTTTACATGAAAGCCTTGTTTCAAAAGATTTTTGCTTCAGGTTGTTTTTAAGGAACAACACAACTGATGTGCTGAACCTTACCTCCATGCCCACTCAACTCTGGGCATAAAAAGACAAACTTCCCTGCCAAAAACAAAAGCAGAGCAAGAAACCCACACCCATACTCGACTCACTGACTGCCTCGCCCCACAGAGCCTTGAAAATATCCAGCAAGTGGGAAAATTGCTGATAAATGGCACTATGGCTAACATAAGGAGCAGGTAAATTATGATGGACAAACAACTAAGGGAGAGTAGTGAAAATTTGTCACCAATGCTCGTGGAAGAGGGATTATAATTACATGTACGTATTGTATTATATTTGCAGAAAGCCCTAAACCAGTAAGGTCATACAATGCTTTATAGCAGAGGGGGAAAAGTGATGGAAGGTAAGAAAAAGAAGTATTTAGGAATGACATCAGCTGAAAGAAGGGTTGCAAATGATGAAGCAAATCACCTTAAGTCAGGAAATCAGAGTGTGCCTGCAGCAATGAGAGGACTGTCAAGAAGGAGAGAGAGTAGGGAGACATACACACATCAAGGCCAGTGTAGAAGTCTTTTCTTCGCCTCAAGTCATAATGCCAACAAATCAATTATTGTTGGTCTCTCTCCTATATACTTACCATATACAGTGGACCCCCGCATAACGATCACCTCCGAATGCGACCAATTATGTAAGTGTATTTATGTAAGTGTGTTTGTACGTGTATGTTTGGGGGTCTGAAATGGACTAATCTACTTCACAATATTCCTTATGGGAACAAATTCGGTCAGTACTGGCACCTGAACATACTTCTGGAGTGAAAAAATATCGTTAACCGGGGGTCCACTGTACTGTCCAGGATTTGTATTAAAATATACGTATCTTCATTTGCTTTATATGTATTTTTTTGTATATACAGATGCTACTGGTAGCTACATGTATAATGTATTCTCCTGTCCCCCCCCTCTCATATACATACATATATACAGTGGACCCTCTCTTTTCGTTGGGCTCTGTTTTTGTGAATTTCAGTTATCGCCAGACTTTTTTTTTTTGTAAAAATATTGGCTCATTTTTGTTACTTTCCTCCATCTTCACTGATGGTATGGAACATGTCTGAGTGTGCCCGCAAGCACACAACCTCCCACACACACATTTTGAGGCAGTGTCGCTTTGTTTCTCGGTAAATGAACATTATCCTGCGAGGTCATAGGAAACATTTCATAATAATTGTTTTTTTGCACTTGTTTATTCTGTGTGACGGCTAAATAAGGCACCATGGGCCCAAAGAAAGCTGCTAGTGCCAGTCCTTTGGTAAAGATAGAATTAAAGAAAAAGATTGTAGAAAAATACAAAAGTGGTGGTTACATCTAGCCTGGGTGCAGTTATATCTAGCCTAGGCATAGTTACGTCTAGCATGGGCATGGTTACATCTAGCCTGGGCATGGTTACATCTAACCTGGGCGTAGTTACATCTAGCCTGGGCATAGTTAGATCTAGTCTGGGCATAGTTACATCTAGCCTGGCCGTAGTTAGATCTAACCTGGGCATAGTTACATCTAGCCTGGAGGTATATACATAGTTACATCTAGCCTGGACGTACAGTAGAACCTCAAATTACGAACGTATCGCTTATCGAACTGTTCGAAAATCGATCGCTTTTTTCGAACCAGCTCTGTCCCTATTATCGAACTCGACCCCTTCTTTCGAACCGCCGTGTACCAGACCTGTCTGCCAGCCCGCTCTGTCTGCGTCCCCGCGCAGGTGCCGTTAGCCAGTCTGGCTTTGTTGATCCTTGAGTGAAGACTAACCTGCGGTCTCATTCAAACATTTTGCGATTAATTCGTTGTGTTTAGTGCTTGTGGGATTGTGAAATAAGCTATCACGGGCCCAAAGAAACTTGCTAGTGGTACCCCTGTGGTAAAGGAAGTGAGAAACACCATAGATGTGAAGAAGGAAATAATACAGAAGTATGAGAGTGGTGTGCGACTTGTTGAGTTTCCCAGGATGTATGGGAAAAACAAGTCGACCATCGCTTCTATCCTGGCAAAGAAAGAACAAATCAAGGAAGTTGATACTGCGAAAGGTGTTAATATGCTAACCAAAAAAAGACCACAGACAACTGATTAGGTTGAGAACTTGTTGCTGGTGTGGATCAAAGGTAAAGAGATAGCAGGTGATAGTACTTCAGAGACGATTATTTGGGAAAAGGCAAGGAAGTTGCATGCCAATTCAAAGATTAAGGAGATTTGTGCTAAGTGGAATGATGTCCAAATGTTTGTGGAGAAGTACCACCTTGAGCAAGCTGAAACAAGCCATCTTTGCAATAAGATCAGTGACAGAACAATGTCCATTTCAGGAAAATCTTAAAGAGGCAACAGAAATAGAGGACTGTGGACAGTTATTTTGTGAGATAGGGGTCCAGTGACTCTCAAGCTGGTCCTAGTGGCATTAAAAGACAGAGAAGGAAAGTAACCCCAGAGAGGGCTTTGATACCTAAAGTCCTTATGAAGAGGAATTCCCCTTCCAAACACTAACCCCAACTCCCTCTCTCCTCCCTATCTTCAAGATGCCATCACCAATCTTCAATAAAGGTATAAAAAAATGCTATTTTATATGTTCATTTAAACTTATTAATAATTGTACACTATATTTGTTGGATGTATGTAAAACTATAATGTAGTGCTATCTATAAAATGTATTTTTTGCGAATATTTTTGGGTTTCTGGAACGGATTAATTGTATTTCCATTATTTCTTATAGGAAATACGTATTGATTCACCGTTCAAAATTCTCAACTTTAGAGCCTTGCTCCTGGAATGCCGTAAGTTAGAAATTTGAGGTTCCACTGTACTTACGATCTCTCCACATTAATATAAATATAAACAGTATTTTGGAAGTTAGGAGGAGGTGCGGGATTACCAAAACTGTTGTCCAGAGGGCTGAGGAAGGGTTGTTGAGGTGGTTCGGACATGTAGAGAGAATGGAGCGAAACAGAATGACTTCAAGAGTGTATCAGTCTGTAGTGGAAGGAAGGCGGGGTAGGGGTCGGCCTAGGAAAGGTTGGAGAGCGGGGGTAAAGGAGGTTTTGTGTGCGAGGGGCTTGGACTTCCAGCAGGCATGCGTGAGCGTGTTTGATAGGAGTGAATGGAGACAAATGGTTTTTATTACTTGATGTGCTGTTGGAGTGTGAGCAAAGTAACATTTATGAAGGGATTCAGGGAAACCGGCAGGCCGGACTTGAGTCCTGGAGATGGGAAGTACAGTGCCTGCACTCTGAAGGAGGGGTGTTAATGCTGCAGCTTAAAAACTGTAGTGTAAAGCACCCTTCTGGCAAGACAGTGATGGAGTGAATGATGGTGAAAGTTTTTCTTTTTCGGGCCACCCTGCCTTGGTGGGAATCGGCCAGTGTGATAATAATAAAATTTAAATAAATTAAAGAAAACTCTATTTCTCAAATGATTCATTGGGATTTAAATAATTACATATACGTAGTTTATTTATGGTGTACGTCTTGTCTAAATGTAGGTTATTGAGCACAGGTATTGTAATATATATATCTCAACAACATAATCTGAATAAAAAATGTCTTAATGTCAGCAAAGGAAATCAGTATAAACAAAACTCCTAATTCATAATTCTCTAAACAAAAATATTTTCTTCATTAAAAAATTATTTGACTCACACATAGACACCGATGTGTCTTTTGTTTTTACCACTGGTGTGGCTTTTCACCTTAGCTATGTTTACACATTTTTTATTCATCTTTGCCTTCACAGGGTCATTGATTTTGTATATACCTTTTTGGTTATGGGCACCTCGGAGGGCAGTTAACCTGTAGGCTAGTTCAAAGTCATCAATTGTTTCTATTTCATTAATTTTCTTCTTGCTATTCTTTTGCTTACTATTTAATCCGG